AGCGTGGTAAAGCCAAGCCTAGTATGATGCCTTCATTTGAGTAACATTGAGAGCTTCATTGCCAGTCATCTTCTGTTTTTTTTTTTTTTTTATAAACTGTTTTTTACATCATCCCGAAGGTTCTGATCCGATAAAAGAGTATGGGTTTGATATCGTATGCTGCTCTCACTGACAAAATAGGACGAAACTAACAGAAATCCATGAATTTGGAAAAGCAGTCGGTGTCATACACTCCAGCGCTCGTCCATCCAACATTTTCCAGGCCGATATTGTGCTTGCCGCAACCAGTAGATTTGCCGTTACAAAGTAATGCAGCCTGTCGATTTGGTCTTCGCCACATCGCTTACCAATCGTTTTCAATGATTTCAGTAATTCTTCTACCGACATCTCTTTGTACTTCAAACAAAAGATGCAGAACGTATAATACACTTGACACACTTGGAACGGTGAAGGAAAAAGAGGGAATAAGGAGAGAAGTGATCAGAGAAAGTAAGATCTGTGATAAAGCGCTAATCCTAATGCACTAAATTCATTCGGTACAGTCTTAAAAGACGAGGAAATGAGGAGGAATTAGAGAGTGAGCTGTGCGATGAAGCAAGTAGTGCTAACATACTGAACTATATTAAAAATTGTGTCAGCTAAAGAAAATTGCACAATTTTTTTAGAAAAAAATTTAAAAAAGCTTACCTCAGAAAACAGGAACATAAAGTAATGGTTTACAAGGGGCGGCAGAAGATCCAAGATAATGGAACCCGTTCACAGATCCACTGATTTGTTTTGATGAAAAGCGGATTCTGGATTGCATTTCATCTGCCTTTTTAACTCAGAAACAAAACTGATGATGTAAAAAGAATGCCTGTTTTAAATTCTAGAAAAACACAAAGTTAAAAATCAGTAGCTGCTAGTTTTTCGAATGCTTTAGTTCAAATTTTTTTGAAGATATTTTCTTAACAGCTATATTTTAATCGCTGTAATTACGAAAAAAAGTGGATTTGCCAGGCCGAACATCTTTGCTTGCCAAACTGTCGTTAGAGTGAGTGATATCATTAGAGTGAGACTGGCATCCACCAAACAAAAAAGTACCTCCCAACTCAACACCCAAACAAGTGATAAGTATTCAGAACAGAGATCGTGAGTAATAATTAGAAACAGATAGAACAAGACAGAACGGCACGAAATTACTGTCATTTGACTGAAATTCAGCGAACCTAAACGATTTCTACGAAAATAAAAATTATAAAAAAATTTCACCAGCTAATACCCTTTCCTCCCACTGAACGACAATTTACTGGTCATGCAACGACTAAGAAAGCAGTCTCGGTGCTTGAATTCGAGATGGCGTAGTGCCCGTAATCGATCAGCTTGATCTTGAAAGTGATCGTCTGGAAACAGAATCATACACACTACTGGTAGAAATCTCTCTCGATGCTAGTGCGAAGCAAACGCATTGAGAGGATAACTGGAAAGAGACGATTTACGTGCAGCCGCGGAGCACACATTCATAAAAGCACGGACGGCGGCCCCAATTCACATAAATCAAATCATCAAAAACCGGAATTCCTCTGCTTGCACTTTTTTTT